AAATTGTTGTAGCAGTATAGACTGTCCAATATATGCCAGTCAGACACATATAAAACATGTATTTTTTTATTTCACATATTGTTTCTGGCAAACTGAATACAGGATGAAGGACACAGGACAGCCAAAAAGCATCACTAACTATGCCCAGCATGAAAATATAACTATCATTATATTTTATTGGATAGAGGTTGTAGTGGAAAATTGATCTCAAAGTTATAAATGCTTTTCCAAGTGTTTGTTACTCTATCAATGGATGAAGTTATAAAGAAAACATAAATTATAGCTTGCAACCCAAGTATTGTATTTCTTTCAGTTAAATATAGTATACTTGAAATATATCTAAAAACAATCTGCTTACCAGTTTACTGAAACTAACACTTGCAGCAAATAATAAAATGTGCTACAGTAAGAACCCTAGAAAGCAGTTTACCAATTGTCTTATAGGTGTCATCATAATTAATTAATTTTGCAAATTTCGATGATCACCCATCTAAATTTGGGTACAAATTCTGGGTGAACAAAATGATATAAATACAAAATCACAATAAACAAATGGAACCCATTAAAAAAACTATGCTAGACCCCTCATTAATCTGTCTAACAACATAAAAAAAGATGTCATGCTTGGGTTTAACTAACACCCTGGCCTGAATCCCTGGGGAAAGGCCAGCAGGGTCAAGACCATTCAATTGCCATTAGAATCTTGGCTGGAAAGTTGTAACATAAGAGAGACACCATAATAGAAAAAGAAAACCAAAATCCAGGCAATGTCTGAGAAAAAACATATTCTGGATGATTGTATAAATTATGTTACAATTATAAAACAGTGAACAATGAAAAAAGGATCTATGCAATATCCATTTATATTACATTAAAAAAAGAGAAGTTCAAAACACCAAAGAAAACCACAGCATTAAATCCAGCTACAGAAAACAATAAAATGATGCCCAGCATTAAAATATACTGTAATTCACCCAATTGGGACTCTATACATCCTGATGTAAAAATCTGAAGAAATAGCCAGATCTTGACTGCTCTCTGAAGGCCTTCAAGGTTAGGGTCAAACGATTGGGGCAAAAGGTAGTGTCTGGTATGAACATCTCTGATGTCTTTTAAATCCAGATCTGGAATGTGTCCTTCCTGTTAAAGCACATGAGATGGGCAGATATCCTAGGGCGCAGATACTCCTGACACACAGGGCTTTATTAGTTATAACGACCAGATGACTGCAAGGAATATAAATCCTTCCATCCTTCACCATTCAGTCAGAACTGAAGAAGCTTCTTGGATGAGAAGCAAAATGTCTTCAAGGGAAAAAAAGTCCAATTACCTTTAGAAAATACACTAACTGAAGTTTTTCCTCCATACAAAACTCCATACAATAATCTAATTCAGAGATGATTAAGGTATGAAAAATTGCAAGCTGAGTCCCATGAATGGGTTCAATCAAGTTGCAAAATGAAATTGTGCAAACACACCCTGCAATGGCTGCCACCTGCTGTCTCAGAAGGAGTTATATGTGCCTAAATTATATAAGAATAAATGTAAAGGATTCCCCTATCCAGTTGTGTCCAACTGTAGGGGCACTGTTCATCTCAGTTTCTTAGCTGAGGGAGTCAGCATTGTCCAAAGATACTTACATAGTCATGAGCCAATACACCGCTAAGTGGGCAGGAGCTGGGGCAAATAATGAGAGCTCAGCCCTTCGTATGGCGCTTGGGTCTTGAATATGAGCTTGGTGTCAGTTTTGGAAGACAGTTTGGGTCTTGAATATCCCTGTTAAAGCACATGAGATAGGCAGATATCCTAGGGCAGAGATGCTCCTTTCCAGTTGTCTTTAACCACTGAGCCATCATGCTCCTCTTGTATTGTAAACTGAATCCAAATGTAATACAACCTCATTCAGACTAAAGGATGACATCTCTCCAGTGGAATGCAAAACCCACAATTACTTGATTTTGGTAGGATTGAGCCAAACCCTATTATTTCCCATTCAGACTAACACTGCCTCCAAACATTGAAACAGAACTTCACTTGTGCATTCAAAATCAGATATGTACAACCTCATGTCAACAAATGACCTTTCCTTGTGGCTTCATGTATATATTAAAGAAAAGAGGAGACAGACCATTTGAAAAATAGGAGTCAAAGATTAGACTGCTCTCCTCCACCAACATTGACTGGAAATGCCCTGAAGGAACAGGGCTCTCAATTGCGAAGCCTGTAGTAAGGTCCAGAAAGGTATCATATTGATAGAATTGAATGCTGTCAACAAGTCAATGATACAGTATCAAGATCCACCATAGGTTACCTACAAGTAGAACCAAATCTACTTTAAATATGTATCTTAGCCTCAAACCTAATTAGTGTTCTGACCCAGCTTTAGCAGAAACAAGAAGCAGACTCCTTGTCCCGAAAAACCCATATTTATTATCTCCTGTGAATTAATGGCATTCACACACTGAAAAGTCCAGGCAATAAGCCTTCAAAGAGTTAACTGCAGTAACAGACTTTATCAGTTCTTTGAGATAATTGCCAGGCCTGCCGCAAAACTGTAAATTAAGTTTTGGCAAGCAGTATCTGAGGCATGAAACACGATGAGCCAAATTTTCCTTCCGAACAGTTGTCTCCTACAACCACCACTCCCATTTCCTTCTATTTAATCCCCAACTGGGAGGGGCCATTCAGTGTCCACGTGTGCCTTGCTTCCCGAGTTGACTCCTTGTTCTCAGTTGTTCTCCTCTCCTAACAGCTGTTGTGACCTAGGCTTACTGAGGCTTACACAACAACAGCTCTTACACAACAACAGCGCATATGCAAATCTGAAACAGGCCCCAGCTGTTCTTCCTCCCCACCTATCTCAGCTTCTGAAGACAGCTGTCTCTCCGGTGGCTGGGAAATGTTGGACAGTCCTGGCTCTATCTCTGCTTCTGATGCAGAGCATCCATCAGAGCCTTCCTCAGACTCCAGAACTGGCCCGAGTTCTTCCCCAACTTCCTCATCATCCGAGTCTACCGCCAGTTCTGCTGGCAGCTGGTGGATCACAACAATTAGAAGGAGTTCAGATGATCCAATTTATAAGAGGTCCAGGAGAAGGAGGAGGGGGAAAAAACCCTAATTTTTTGTTTCCTGTATCAAAATCATATAAAAAACAAACTCTGTATAACTAAGATCTAAAGACTGAATATGAATGAATAAAATAGCAAAACTTCTATGTAAGAAGAAAAAAAATCTTTTAATAGGATTAAATAAAGATTTTTTTTTTTTTTTTGGTTTTCCACAAGTATGAAATGATTCCTGGGTATCAAAAAAGATGGCTGAAATCTGATGTACTAATGCTTCTTCTCTTGAATAATGTTTTTAACATTATTAAATATTTTTCATTTTAGGGGATTCTCCTTAGTAAAACTAGAAAAAATATAACATGAGACATTTTATCTCTCTATGCCGTTATATATATAATATTGGTCGTAATTAGTTTTTTATTTCTCACACAAATCTGAATAGCTTCAGTACAGTGAGAAACAGAAAGTTTTCAGACATCTTTCACTTTTGTCAATTTTGTTATGCTGCAGCCCAATTCTACAGTTGTTGAAATTCATTTGAACATTTGTTCAAATGAACAAATGTTCATTTGTTGAAATTAATAAGAAATTCATTTTCTTATTAATCTACCCTTAGTACCCCATAATGACAAAGTGGAAACAGATTTTTAGAAATGTCTGTAAATACTTTCTTAATGCACTGTTACTAATAAGGTCTTATCAAATGCATGAAAAGAAGGAACTGGAACATGGTGATCAGATTCAGTATTTATCCTATAATTTTGAAATGCTTGAAAAATATTGAGCTACTCTAATTTGAAGAAAAAAATTACTGAATGGGTTATTCAAAATACTATATATATATATATATATATATATATATATATATATATTATATAATATATATATATATATATATATATATATATAATATATATGTTTATGTAAGTTTTCATGGGTATGTATGTGTGTATAGTTAATATTTCGGGTTTCTTCCCGTGTAATTGTGGATATATCCCTAAAAGGGATATATATATACACACACCTTTTCTCATAATCAAGATTTCCCATCAAATGCTCTTCTAAGCAAAAGCTCTTCTTTTACTGCTCTAGCTAATCATCATTTTTACTATAATCATCTACTTTTACTATGCTTCACGCAGTTGTTTGTCAATATGGATTGCAACTTAACTTACTGTTGACATAATAAATACCAAAAGAAGAAAATGCATCTCAGTAGAAATGAGACCATTACCATGCAGGCAAACATTATAAGTATGCACCATTTATAGAGAAAGACAGCACATGTGCAGACATACATCTAAATTTTACATGAAAAGAAGCATATACACGAATCAAAAGTTACCATGTTACCATAAATTATTCATAAAGAAATAAAGTCCTTATCAGAAAAATTATTCCCAACATGTAATCTACTTTTTAATTTCTAATAAAACAGAATTGCAAACAATGAAAGGTCACATATAATTGTTAGCATGTATCAAATAATGCACAATTATTAAGAAATTCAGCTCATGGGCTGTAAATTAAACGATCTACTTTTTTATAATAAAATACTATTCTTTTTTCCCCTAAACCAATGAATAGGAAATATGCAGCAAAACAATATATATATTTTCAGATGATTTCCAAGGACATAAAGTAAAAGAGAATAGAAAGTAGGAGTGGTAAGTATTTGTTTGTCAGCAGTCAGAATGCCAAAAGTATTTTCTGCCATCTGCCAAACCAACTTTCTAAAAATAAAATGAATTCTCAGAGAATGCCATTCAAGATCCTAAAACAGACTTCTAGTCAAGAGAAAACCCATAGAGTTTATTTGTAAATAAATATACAGTAAATAATAAAATATCACAGTAACATTCCAATTACTGATTAGAATAAGGAAAAAATTAAGAACAATCAGACATTTTACTATATTTTTTTCAAATGTCTTACCGTCCAGGTCACTTGAATTGTGGTAGGGGTAAGCACAACAGGATTATGTAGTCGTACAATTACATCACCAAGCTCTTTTTGGACTTGTCTGTGATCCACTCCTTGTGCTGGTGGACTGATATCTGCCAGGTCAAACATATCGGTGTGCATCAATAAGTTATTATCTTACTAAGGAGAGTCAATTAAATCAATTTATTATGATGACTGAAAGCATAATAACCTTCACTTAAATGATTTTACTGAAATTAGTTTATTGTCAAACAATGTAGTAGTCGGATTGGATTCTGGTCCGGATAGAACACTTATGATTTATATAATAGCAGTATTTTTATAAGATATAAATTTATTTTAATAAACATATATATTTTTCAAATAGTATTGAAATGTCCACTGAGGAAACAGCAGCATCATTATAAAAGAAAGCCTCCATTCCCTACTCCCTGCAGTCAGTCAGCCAGATACTATTGCGAACAGTTTGAAAGCCCCAAGAGGCCTATAAGTGTCATGAGATGTACACCAGTTCAACTTAAATTTTAAAACAAGAAATCCTAAAGTGCGATCAATGTAATCTCAGTCCCATACCAAGACCTGAATCCTTACTGAACAGTGTCCAGATATCCAGCTTTTTCTAAGATGTTGTGAGACATTTCTAACCTCTAAATACAGTGGTACCTTGGTATTCATTGTTAATTGGTTCCGGGAGGCGCAATGAGTACCAAAAACGATGAGTACCAAACAATTTTTTCCCATTAGGAATATTGTAGTGAGTCACAGGACCGCCGGCATTGACAAGTTCTAGCTTGTGCATGAATATCTAACAAACTATGAGTATTGGGACAAAATTTTCACATCAAAATGCATTGAGTATCAAATTTGATGAGTTTAAAGCAGTTGAGTACCAAGATATAACTGTATAACAACATAAGGATCTCAAATAATTATATGCAAATGTGGGTCTCCAGGTGTTTGTTAACTTCTATAATTGATTAGTTACTCTTCAGTTATGGCAACTAACTCGAATACACATGTGATACAACCATTGTACAATGTTCTTGTGTTCCTGTAACAATACTCTGCACAAACATAGCATAAATATTTTACCGAATGATTATTGGTAGTAGTGCTATCCAGATAGTAGCTATACGGTTTCAGAAGTTACAATAAAATATATTTCAGCTTAGATAGACTGATATGAATACATACATACACACACTCACACACATGTATGTATGTATATGTTCGTATGTGTGTGTGTGTGTTGTGATGTGTATGTGTATGTGTATGTGTATGTATATGTATGTATATGTATATATGTATATATATATATATATATATATATATATATATATATATATTATATATATATATATATATATATATATATATATATATATGAAAATATTTAAAAATTAATAGAAATTTTTGAACTGGTCAGGCAGATTTAAATTTCTAAGAATTGCAAATAAGGAATATTCCTTTCAGTAGGATATTGATAAAAGTGTTATCTATCAGTATAAATGTTTTTCCATATGATATTGTGCTTAGGTTACTTGTGTTACCAAATCATATGGGTCAACATATGGAGCCACAGTCAACTGTGTGTTAGCTTATATTTCACTTCTTTAAAAATAATGTATTTATTAGATTAGTTTCAAAGGGCTGCATCACACTGACAATGATTTGAGCAAAGCAATGCTTTAAAGCTGCTTTAGAATATTTAGAAATATTCCTTTTTTCAAGTTTTATTTTTTGGTCATTCGGTGATCTTAAATGTATATGGGTCCTATCTAACAAAATGAAATTCAATGTAGAGAAAAATCTTATACTTAGGCAAGAAAAATCAAAAGTACACATATAGACTGGGAGAAACCAGGCTTAATAGCAGTAACTGTGAGAGGGATCTTGGGAGTCTTAGTGGACAACCAATTAAATATGAGCCAACAGTGTACAGCGACAGCCAAAAAAGCCAATGCACTCCTAAATTGCATTAACAGAGGGATACAGTCAAGATCAAGTGAGGTACTAATACCACTCTATAAAGCCTTAATAAGGAGAGATTCAACCTGGAAATAAGGAGAAATTTTCTGACAGTGTGAACAATTAACCAGTGGAACAGCTTGCCTTCAGAAGTTGTGGGAGCTTCATCACTGGAAACTTTCAAGAAGAGACTGGACTGCCATCTGTCAAAAATGGTGTAGGGTCTGCTTGGACAAGGGGTTGGACTAGATGACCTACAAGGTCCCTTCCAACTCTGTTAGTCTGTATCTGTATACACTACTGTGTACACCTATTATATACTGTATACAGTCCAGGGGTATACATTCACATATAATATTTCTGCATTTGCATATGCATATTATAATTAACTTAAAATAGGCTGCCTGAGAAATAAATTCAAGTTACCTTGGGTTCGGACAGGATCTGACATGATGCTGGGATCACTCAACCCTTGTGAATTGATAGCTCTCACCATAAACAGGTAGATGGTATTTGGACGGAGTCCTCTCACAGTGTAAGGAATTGTTCTAACATGATTAGCCACTGTTTGCCAGCTATTGCTCACCAACTGGCTGAAATGAAAATGAATTGGAATACTATAGCTAAAATCACATACCTTAAAAATGGTCAAGGATATGTTTCTATCTGCTGTTAAAGACAAATAAAGACATCATAAAATGTGCTATCAAGACCAACAGAAACTATGATAGATTCTAAATCAATTAAAAGCACAAAACTCCTAACATATGATTGATTATGTAGCATCACATTGTTGTTAACTCTTAGTGATCATATAGACTGATTGCTTCATGATGACCTCTCCCTAATCTGGTCCTTCAATCATAGAAAAGTCCATCTTGGTAGATCTTATCAGGTAACACAAGAAGATTAGGTAAACAGGAGATAGCTCTTTCTATATTTAGTCCACATCATCAATAAATAAATTTAAAAGAATTAAAAAAAGATAAGTGATTATTGAGGTATCAGTCCCATATTTAGCTCCAACACTAGATTTGATTGATACTGGCAAAGAATACTGAAAAATGTTTATAGCAAGCCCCCTATTTATTCTTCATCCATTATCAACATGTTGGTAAAATACATTTTAAATATTTTTATAAGTTTTATTCTTATAAACTCATATGGAAAGTTTAAATCAAGTGTTTGAAACATTTTAAAACTATGTAAAACAAAATATAATTTAATTAGCTAAAATTTTGGAATGAATTTTGTTCAAAAATGCAAAGGATCATGACAGTAATACGTTTTAACCTACCTAAAAGCCTCAATGATATATGCACTTGTTGGTAAATTCCCAGGTGTGCCTGGCTGCCACGACAAGGTGACACTGTTCTTAGTGACATCAGTGACCTGAGGCTTGGATGGTGGTCCAGGAAGATCATTTAAATCATAATTTTTGCTAACTGCTGCTCCCCCAAATTCTATAGAATGCAAATTGGTTATATTTTACATGTTTATAGTTGTTTACTAAAGAATGATTTAAATATCTATTTTAAATAAATCTGTAGTTATATAAATGCTTTAAACAGATGCACAACATATTAAAAATAAGTACTTTTGAGGTATAACGTAATTTATCATTTCATTTCATTATCATTCAATATAGTAACAAGTGAAGCAAGAGAGAAAGAAAAAGATATTCCAATTACTTCTGTTTATAGTAACATTTTTCTCCTATAATGAGAGATTCAGCTAAATTAGGGGTAAAAAACATGTTTAAAACAATATTTTATCCTTCTACGCTTGTCTGGGGATATCAGGATTAAAACAGCTCTTAGATGGATGGGACTAACTTTCTTGATCCATCATTTTCCTGTTCTTTGGGTAGATCTTAAAGGGGAAAGCATCAACTATTCATAATAGGAAAATGGAACTGATTAGAGGATAGACTTTATATGTTTTACTGAACATGAAGCATTTTGCCCTTAAACCATCTCCCTTCAAACTTTCCCAAAATGAAAAAATATGGATGCACCAGCTTATACTGCAAAATGATTTTACATGTGTGTGATGTGAAATAAATTCAGTGACTTACGCATTTGCATTAGATATTGTGATATTAGTATAAAACTGCATCTTTGGGAGTGATGACATAATCCCACATATATTGCTATGTTGATGTCACTTTGGTCTGTTATGGACACCATTGTCTCTGGACTTAATATTTCCTTCCGTGCATACAGTTTTTAGGAGGGACAAATATGAAGTTTCTCAATATACTGAAGGGCCACAATGGCTATTATAGACAGTGCTTTTAGCTTGCTGACCTGTCTATGGAGTTCTGAATTAACTTTTGCCAATACAATGGCTTCTACCACTGGGTCTTGAAGCTAGAAAGCTAGAGGGGGAGTAGAAAATGGGAAAGTTTCATTATATGTGTAGAAGGCTTGCGCAATATTAAATTTTGCACTTAACAAAAATCTTTAATAAGAATCAGTGATAATGTATTGAATGTCCTGATTTCGGTTGTAGTACATTTTCGTTTTGGTTTTCTGTATTATAGAGGTACAACTTACCTGAAACATCCAGCACAGCACTCCAAGATGTTTCCCCACTTGAACTTGTGGCAACACAAGTGTATGTGCCCATGTCAGATATCTAAAGACATGGAAATAAGAAATACCAATCCTTTACTTAAAATATTCATTTAATTTTTTAAATATTTTTGTTGTGAACTAAGATGGAAGTATGATTCAGAATTGTTATAAAGTGGAATACAATATTTCACAAAAAAGAATTATGCATTTCATTTAGTAAATTGAAATAGTTCCTTAATTTTGACATATTTTCATATTTCTATCCCAAGTTATGTTCCACATAACTACTATCACTAGCTTAAAGTTACAAATTTAAAGGGGAAATAATATAATACTTTTTTTGAAATAAAATATAATTAAGAAAGAGAGCAGTAAAAGTGTAGACATCTGCTTTCTAATTGGTGGGAAACCATAACTATTCAAGTACATTGTTAATCTAAGTCCATATAACAAACACATTCATTTCCTTTAACTCTGTGAGAGCAAATTGTTCATTCAAATAATTGTATTTCTGAATTATATAATTGCTTTTGTACATGATTATTTAATCAAATCTATAGGCCACCTCAGCTGAAGTTGCAACTGGGGGCTTACGGTACTGTATATAGCATATTCCTCAGTGTATGCATTCGATATAAATTATAAACCAATTAAACAGAATATGTATGTATATGTGTCCTAAACTGGATGGATGGATGGACAGATGGACAGACAGACAATCTTCCACTGCAATAATATAAATTTGGTAAAATTATCTTCCCTAAAAGATTGAATTTAATCGTATTATCTCTATACAAGATTTGTTTAATCTAACATTTTATACTTATTCCTTCAAAATCAAAAGTGGTAAGTAACAGCATTATTCTAGCAAGGAAACTATTTGGCTTCTCTCTGAAGGCTTTTCAGTTCTATAGTAATGTGGAGCTAATACTGCAAAACTTGCCATATGTGTATGTAGAAGAAGAGATGACATAATGCTGCCTTTATGTTTGTGTCACATGTGCTGTTATTGATTTGTTGTTTAGTTGTTGCTTCTCAGTTGCTTGATTCACTTTTTATCACCTAATCCTATATTACTAAGGAGTTCAAGGAAATGTTTTATTGAAATATTATATTGAAATATTAAAAATCTTTTACTTAAAGTTCATATTTCAATATTTGTGCTATCTTCATTATGGAAAAATATAATGTAAAAATCTGTATTTTCATCAACTTACTACATTTGAGGTAAGTCTTGATTTACAAAATATAAAAGAAATAGTAATGCTAAATAAAATAGTGTAGGTAGAAACATAAAGGCAAGAAATATAACTCAAGTTAATTTATACCATTTCATAGTTCTCTACATACAATTTCATAGTTCTTTATCATTGCTCCTACTGTGTTCATATATTGATTCATATTTACTGCATTTGGTTCTTCATGCCTCTCTTCTTTCAAATATTTATCTTATGATTCAGATCTTTGTCTTTCTGAGCTATAAATTTAAGTTCCTTTTCCCATATTGTTGCTCTTTTTTCTATTCAGTTCACTTTTATTCATCATCCACCCATTATTGATCCCATCTCTACTTGCTTTATTATGCACACTTAAATTCCCTCTTCTTATTTACCCTATATTTCTTCTGCAATACTCATTTTTGTAGTAACTAAGTAGACAGACTCAAACTAATAAACAGCCATTTTTATTTATTTTGATATTCAATCTCTACAGCAGACAAAGTTCAGTTTCACACATTTATCAGCAGTTCACATTTTAATTCCCCCATTTAATTACTTAATAACTATTTTAAAGTACACAAATTAGTCTACTTGCTTTAATATTTCCTAATTTATGAGTATGTAGTAATTGTTCACACCATTTCCCCTGTCAGTCACAAATATTTTGGTCTTGATTAATTATTTTTCAGATTTATATGATCCATTAAATCATATCATTAATTTAATATTTGGTAGGAGTAAGTTCTCTATAAACAACACAAAATACCATCTAATTCTCATGCCTTTAGCATCACCAGAAACTGTCTAACATATTTTTATTTTAATGTATTAAAAAAACAAAGGAATCATCACATATTCCCGGATTACTCTTGGCTCAATGATGAATTATTTGGTAAGCATTCTCTTTATTTTCATGCATATATGCTTCCATATTACAAAATTCCTACCTTATTTAGCAATCAACTTTAATTCCACATACATGCAACAATTTCATGATTCAAATGTTTTTACCTTGTCACATTTTTTTCTCTCTGTGAGGACAGCATAAATGGCACTACCAAATTTTGCTGATTGTCAAGTTGCATATATGTCGAGTTAAAATTCTGTTGAACACCTTTCTAGGTACATTTAACAAACCTATCTCCGATAGTTATGAATTAATTTTATTTTTTAAGCAAGTATATAAAAATGATAACCCCATAGTTTCAAAAATGAAACTGAATAATTCAAATTGTCAACTGTAGAAGTACAAAGCATAAAAAACTGATTTAAAGGAGGCTATTACCACAGAGACTACTATGCCATCCTAAAGATTGGAATAAACAAAACCAGCAAGCATTATATACTATAGGTCTCTTAATAACAGGGTAAAATACCATGTTTTCCCAAAAATAAGACCCTGTCTTATATTTTTTTGAACCCTGAAATAAGTGTTTGGCCTTATTTTTGGGGAGGTCTTATTATTTTGGAGCACGTAGAGCAGGACGGGGCTCCCCTTACCATCTTATCTGATTTCCAGCTGTCTCCCTAACCCTAACCAGAGGAAATGACGGGGACTGGCTGCACATGCATTTAAATATTTTCAGGGGAAGGTTTATTTTCGGAGGGCTTATTTTCAGGGGAGGTCTTATTTTTGAGGAAACACGGTAGGTACACATAACAAATGAAAAGGGGGGGGGTATCCTGGAATTTATAAAGAACAAGATTGACTAATAAGCTGTTATTTCAAAGGAAACTACATCACATGAAACTTGGAAAAGGTAAAGATATTCAAGACTGTATAAATGCTATCTTGGACAATTTCGCGGAATTATGGAGAAAGGATAAATATGTGGCAGCTTTATTTTATGTAGCCTACCTGAATCACATAGTCCACTTAAAAAAGCTTAGAAATAAGGGTTGAGGCAGAATTAACATTAGAATTTTTTAAAGAAACGCTTGTAGATAAGTTTCAATGCAGAAAGTAAGCATGGGGAAAATAATGATCAGGATGAAGAGACAATATTAAAGTCTAGAAATACTAGACCTGGATGAGACTTCAACTGAGGATTCTCTGAAAAACTTCCTTGATATTTCTTCATGCGCTTCATACTGCATCAAGATGTTTTACTGGCCATTTCCAGTAAGGCAAAGCAAGGAAGCCCGCCTTTTTTTTTACTTTCCAGTTTTTATTTGTGGTGTCGAGGCAATTTCACTTTTCTATGACAAGTTGCTGCCTTAGATTTGTCAGAGACAATGCAGCTCTGCAAAGTGGCACTGCTTTGCCAAATTCTAACAAATACCAGAATATATAGAAAAGAAACTAGAAATTAGAATTAGAAATAACTTTAAATAGGCACAAAAACACATCTTCCATATGGAAAGGAAAGAAATTCAGAAGAAATCTACAATGTGATAAGATAAAGGCTAACACCAGTGAGCAAAAATAAAATGATTTAATGCAATTTTTAAGATTACCAAATGCTACTGAAAGGCTTGTCAGGCATATTCTTTAAATAAGTGATACTACATGACAAATGTGCAATTTATCCTTCCGAAGGGCAGAAAGAATAGGATATTTTGATAAAATTCAGAAAGTGAAATGGAGATTATCAACATATATTGTTCTAAATTTAAAAAGATATTGCTGTGGCCTGGCGGCCGCTGGCCCCTCTAACAACCAAATCAGATGAAGAGGCGGCGTGGGAGTCAGGGCCAGCATCAAGGCAACCTGAGAGCTCCAAGTGGGAATGGAGCTGTCAGAGATAGAGAGAGAGGTGGAGCCTGGGCCGTCCATCAGCCCTCAGATGGAAAGTCAATAGCCCCAGGCCTGGAGTAGCTGAACAAGAAGAGGAGGAACAGCTGGGGCCAGTGCCTGACGCGTGGATGCACAGAAGACAGAGGAGAGGAAAGGAGAGTAGTGGAAATCTATGGGCCAATTCTTGGGACGGAAAAGCCACCACTGCTAGTGAAGCCCCACCCTAGCTCTGGAGATAAAAAGGCAGGGGGCAGAGATGAATAGATGTGGTAGACAACTATTCATCTCCCTGTTGGACAGACTTGTTAGCCTGCTGTGTGAGAGAGAGAGACTTTTTGCTGGGGCTGCTGGCGCTCCTAATAAAAGGAACATTTGTTTAACTACAGAGCGTTTGTCATTTTTGAGAGCTGGGTCAGAACAGATATCTTTTGTCATTGAGCTGGTTAACAGAGTAAGATAGTACAATTCCATCTATCTATCTATCTATCTATCTATCTATCTATCTATCTATCTATCTATCTATCTATCTCCATCCATCCATCCATCATCCATCCATCCATCCATCATCATCCATCCATCCATCCATCCTCCATCCATCCATCCATCCATCTATGCAGCAAATGTCTGTATCAAAATTTGTTGCTGGGACCTATAAAATTAAATAGGAGTGCTAAATGCATATAATAAAAGAAAATGCATTCAAATTTGGCATCACATTTAGAACACCAATATTCCTTTTTTTTAATTTTAAAAAACTTTATTCAATTTAAAAAGATAAAAGATTATACAAAACGTTCTTAACTCTAAAAAAAGTACAATTCTAAATTACATATATACTCAAACTAACAAACAGGATTATCTATCTATATTTGAATATGTAAATACATATATACATTAACCTTGATTTCTTAATGACAGTGTAAATTTGTTACCCTTAATTTCTTACTGTATTTGACTTTAGTTTTTTTCCCCATCGATTGATCCATTCATACCATCTGTCCCATATTTTGTAATACTGTGAGTCTTCCTTGTTTAATTTTAAAGTTAATCTATCCATTTCTGCACATATGAATATTTTTTGGATTATTTGTTGTTCTGTTGGCA